ACAACAGAATATATATTCATCTACATAGAACTAGGTGTTACAAAGGAAAAGACACTAATTTCTTTCACAGAGAAAGAAATTACTGAGAGAAATGCTTTCTAAGCATTTATAAAGCAACACATCAGAATCACCACGTCCTTATTATATAATCCAGTAAAATCAAGTAGCAATTTGATTTAATTTCCAATTACTACAATTTTAAAAGAAAATTAGGAAAGATATTTATCCTACTAGAAATGCAAACTAAAGTAATAAATTCGAAAATCCATATCATGAGAAGATAAAACATTTTCTATCATTGTGCAATAATCATATACTCAAGAGGGTTAGCAGAAAGATATTTCATAGAGATATCTATCATCCATAATGGAAACATTTCACACCCAATCACATCTGTGATGAGAGAGACAGAAAATGGCTTTTAGAGGTAATCTTTTTCACTTTCGAGTTGCTACAAAATTTTGTCACAAGAGTCACTTCTACACTGTAAGTGACCTAAAACATTTCCAATCTGTTTCTTTGACCTTTAGTATACCTTACAAAAATTAGATTATAGTTTTGTAATAATTACTATTCAAAGGCAAGAGAAGGCCTTAGTAGTATTGATTATCAATATTGCAACTAGAAAAAAAGAAGCAGGAGTCATTTCCTAAAATTTTCTTCCGCACAGTCATACATGCTTATCCAACCCTAGCTCTATTATTGCACTGTCAGCCAAAGATGAGTCAAAGTGGCGGCTCCATTAGTGACTGTGGGAGTGTCCCCTCATACTACGTGAAATAAATTGGTTTATTAGATACCACCACCATTAAATCTTAGAAAAGAAACTATATGGATAAAATGTTTTCCGCAAACATATTTAAAGGTATTCAACATTGACTTACACAAGTTGAATATCCCTTATCCAAAATGCTTGAAACCAGAAGTACTTCAAATTTTTGTTTTTTTAATTTTGCAATATTTGCATTATACTTACTGGATGAGCAACCCTAATCCCAAAATTTGGATCCAAACAGACCCCAGTGTGTAGTGCTCCACTCCCTGTGTCCATGTGTTCTCATTGATCAACACCAACCTATGAGTGAGAGCATGTGGTATTTCATTTTCTGTTCTTGTGTTACTTTGCTGAGAATGATGGTTTCCAGGTTCACCCATGTCCCCACAAAGGACACGAATTCATCCTTTTTTATGGCTGCATAATATTCCATGGTGAATATGTGCCACATTTTCCCTGTCCAGTCTATCATCGATGAACATTTGGGTTGGTTCCAGGTCTTTGCTATTGTAAACAGTGCTGCAATGAACATTCATGTACATATGTCCTTATAGTAGAACGATTTATAATCCTTTGGATATATACCCAGTAATAGGATTGCTGGGTCAAATGGAATTTCTATTTCTAGGTCCTTGAGGAATTGCCACACTGTCTTCCACAATGTTTGAACTAATTTACACTCCCACCAGCAGTGTAAAAGTGTTCCTATTTCTCTACATCCTCTCCAGCATCTGTTGTCTCCAGATTTTTTAATGATCGCCATTCTAACTGGCATGAGATGGTATCTCAATGTAGTTTTGATTTGCATTTCTCTAATGACCAGTGATTATGAGCAATTTTTCATATGTTTCTTGGCCTCATGTATGTCTTCTTTTGTAAAGTGTCTGTTCATATCCTTAGCCCACTTTTGAATAGGCTTCATTGTTTTGTTCTTGTAAATCTGTTTGAGTTCTTTGTAAATTCTGGATATCAGCCCTTTGTCAGGTGGGTAAACTGCAAAAATTTTTTCCCATTCTGTTGGTTACCGATTGACTCTAGTGACTGTTTCTTTTGCTGTGCAGAAGCTGTGGAGTTTCATTAGGTCCCATTTGTCTATTTTGGCTTTTGTTGCCAATGCTTTTGGTGTTTTGGTCATGAAGTCCTTGCCTTCGCCTATGTCCTGAATGGTTTTGCCTAGATTTTCTTCTAGGGTTTTTATGGTGCCAGGTCTTATGTTTAAGTGTTTAATCCATCTGGAGTTAATTTTAGTGTAAGGTGTCAGGAAGGGGTCCAGTTTCTGCTTTCTGCACATAGCTGGCCAGTTTTCCCAACACCATTTATTAAACAGGAAATCCTTTCCCCATTGTTTGTTTCTGTCAGGTTTTTCAAAGATCGGATGGTTGTAGATACGTTGTGTTGCCTCCGAGGCCTCTGTTCTGTTCCATTGGTCTATATCTCTGTTTTGGTACCAGTACCATGCTGTTTTGATTACTGTAGTCTTGTAGTATAGTTTGAAGTCCAGTAGTGTGATGCCTCCTGCTGTGTTCTTTTTGCTTAGAATTGACTTGGCTATGTGGGCTCTCTTTTGGTTCCATATGAAGTTTAACGCGGTTTTTTCCAGTTCTGTGAAGAAGGTCATTGGTAGCTTGATGGGGATAGCGTTGAATCATTAAATTACTTTGGGCAGTATGGCCATTTTTACGATATTGATTCTTCCTAACCATGAACATGGAATGTTTCGCCATCTGTTTGTGTCCTCTCTTATTTCATTGAGCAGTGGTTTGTAGTTCTCCTTGAAGAGGTCCTTAACATTCCTTGTGAGTTGTATTCCTAGGTATTTTATTCTCTTTGTAGCAATTGTGAATGGCAGTTCGTTCTTGACTTGGCTCTCTTTAAGTCTGTTATTGGTGTATAGAAATGCTTGTGATTTTTGCTCATTAATTTTGTATCCTGAGACTGTTGAAGTTGCTTAACAGTATCAGGAGATTTTGGGCTGCGATGATGGGATCTTCTAGATATACAATCATGTCGTCTGGAAATAGAGAAAATTTGGCTTCCTCCTTTCCTATTTGAATACCCTTTATTTCTTTTTCTTGCCTGATTGCTATGATTAGAACTTCCAGTACTATATTGAATAGGAGTGATGAGAAAGGGCATCCTTGTCTAGTGCCAGATTTCAAAGGGAATGCTTCCAGTTTTTGCTCATTCAGTACCATATTGGCTGTTGGTCTGTCATAAATAGCTTTTATTATTTTGAGATATGTTCCAACAATACCTAGATTATTGAGAGTTTTTAGCATAAAAGGCTGTTGAATTTTGTCAAAGGCCTTCTCTGCATCTATCGAGATAATCATGTGATTTTTGTCTTTGGTTCTGTTTATGTGGTGAATTACATTTATAGTCTTGTGTATGTTGAACCAGACTTGCATCCCTGGGATGAATCCTACTTGATCATGGTGGATAAGCTTTTAGATGTGCTGTTGCAATCGGCTTGCAAGTATTTTATTGAAGATTTTTGCGTCTATATTCATCACGGATATTGGCCTGAAGTTTTCTTTTCTTGTTGAGTCTCTGCTAGGTTTTGATATCAGGATGATTTTGGTCTCATGAAATGATTTGGGAAAGATTCCCTCTTTTTGGATTATTTGGAATAGTTTCAGAAGGAATGGTACCAGCTCCTCTTTGTGTGTCTGATAGAATTCGGCTGTGAAACCATCTGGACCTGGGCTTTTTTTGTGTGATAGGCTCTTAATTGCTGCCTCAACTTCAGATCTTGTTATTGGTCTATTCAGGTTTTCGACTTCTTCCTGGTTTAGGCTTGCGAGGAGGCAAGTGTCCAGGAATTTATCCATTTCTTCCAAGTTTACTAGTTTATGTGCATAGAGTTGTTTGTAATAATCTCTGCTGATGGTTTGAATTGCTGTGGAATCTGTGGTGATATCCTGTCTATCGTTTTTTATTGCATCTATTTAGTTATTCTCTCTTTTCTTTTATATTAATCTGGCTAGTAGTCTGTCTATTTTGTTGATCTTTTCGAAAAACCAGCTCCTGGATTTATTGATTTTTTGAAGGGTTTTTTGTGTCTCTATCTCCCTCAGTTCTGTTCTGATCTTAGTTATTTCTTGTCTTCTGCTAACGGGCAAAACAGCCAGCTAGCATCAAAATGGCAGTATCAAATTCACTCATAACAATATTAATCCTAAATATAAATGGACTAAATGCATCAATCAAAAGACACAGACTGGCAAATTGGATAAAAAGCTAAAACCCATCAGTGTGATGTATCCAGGAAACCCATCTTACATGCAAGGATACACGAAGGCTCAAAATAAAGGGATGGAGGGAGATTTACCAAGCAAATGGAGAGCAAAAAAAAAAAAAAAAAGCAGGAGTTGCAATTCTCATCTCTGATAAAATAGACTTTAAGGCAACAAAGATCAAAAGAGAAAAAGACAAAGACAAAGAAGGACATTACATAATGGGAAAAGGATTGATGCAACAAGAAGAGCTAACGATCCAAAATATATATGGACCCAGTGCAGGAGCACCTAGCTACATAAGGCAAGTTCTTAATGACCTACAAAGAGACTTAGACTCCCACACAATAATAGTGGGAGACTTTAACACCCCATTGTCTATATTAGACAGATCAACCAGACAGAAAATTAACAAGGACATCTAAGACTTGAACTCAGACCTGGATCAAGGAAACCTAATAGACATTTACAGAACTCTCCATCACAAATCCAAAGAATATACATTCTTCTCAGCACCACATCACACCTACTCTAAAATTGACCACATAATTGGAAGTAAATCACTCCTCAGAAAATGCAAAAGAATGGAAATCATAATAAACAGTCTCTCAGACCACAGTGCAATTATGTTAGAACTCAGAATTCAGAAACTAACTCAGAACCGCACAGCTTCATGAAAAACAACTGGCTCTTGAATGTTGACTGGATAAACAATGAAATGAAGGCAGAAATAAAGAAGTTCTTTGAAACCAATGAGAACGAAGACACAACATACCAGAATCTCTGGGACACATTTAAAGCAGTCTCTAGAGGAAAATATATAGCAATAAGTGCCCACATGAGAAGCAAGGAGAGATCCAAAATTGACACCCTACCATCAAAATTGAAAGAGCTAGAGGAGCAAGATCAAAAAAACTCAAAACCTGACATACTTTTTTTCCCACCTTTGAAATCCAATTGTATCAACAAGAACATAAAAGATGACTTACCGGCCCAAAAGAATTACTGTCAAAACTGTGTCCATGATGATCACCTTCAACCCAGATGTGACCACGGGGGACTTTCACATACCGGTTTTTGTGTCCTATAGTTCTAGAAATAAACAGGGTAACCACTGAGATGTGAGTAGAAAAGAGACCAAACAGCTGAGCATACAAACTCAGGAAGAGCAAAAACGTTATACAGATGTTACAGACAGGTTAACCGTGAAGCTTCTGCATAATTTCATTTTTAAGGAAGATGTGGTTAGAGCCCTTTGAATTGATCCACAGTATTTTTTGTCTTTTTATATTTCTATAGGTAAGAATTTTGTGCTTAGATAAAATATATTGGCACCAAATATAATATGTTGTTATTTAATATAACTCACAATATTCTAAATATGTATTTATGAAATTCAATAAGCCCTAACAAAATACAGATCTATTTGTGTTTTAACATTTGCTCTTAAGTTAATATTCAACTCTTCCAACTGATTCATGCACAACTACAATATTCATTTTTTTGTACTGAACTTCTCAAACCAGTGAGCAACACTTTTCATAAACACTTAAAACTCTAAATTTCAATGTAAGAAAGAAATGAAATAAAATAACCCAAATAACTTCTTGTTAGAGAAAAAATATCAGTATCATTTGAAAATATTTGCCCAGAACTAAATTAGTCCTAAAAATGAAAAACTTTTATCAACTGTGAAGACTAAAGATCAGTGGTACACATGTAGCAAAATATTCTATATTCTTAATGCTGGCAAGGAAATGCACTAAGAAAAGGCTACCTCACACAGTTTTGGTAGCAATGTAGAAAGGTATAATGTTTTTGTCTATATTTCCATTTTAGGACAATTTTTGGTACATTTTTAAGGTACCAAAATGTGTGTGCCTTTCGACTTAGGTATTCTACTTTTAGAAATCCATTCAAAAAATAAAATCAGAAATACAGACAAATTTATTCACTACCAGGGGTGTTCAAACAAGGCTTTTTATAGCAAAAAAAAAATTAATTTATCTAAATATTCAACAACACAGAATTGGTTCAATAAATTATGATGCAACCAATTAAATAAAAGATGGGCTTACGATAAAATATAATCCTAACTCCATAATAAGAAGTTCTTCTGAGGGCAGAGACTTTTTTTGTTTTTTTATTTTTCTTTTATCCCCTAAAAAGTTCAGGAAAATGCCTGGCCTAAAGAACCTTCTCAGTAAGTGTTGGCTGAATGATGAATAAATGTCACCTCCAAGGCTGTAGAGTTCAGAAACTGAGCTTGGCATACGGTTTTTTGAGCTGGTGTCCCTATGAGACTATTTTTGTTAGTTAGCAAGTTGTATATGTGCAGAAGAATACACGGAAAAGAAAAACTAAACATAAATTGGTGCTACAGAAACTGAAACTATTCATTATCTAGGGTGGTTTTTAATTTTCACGATAATTTCAGCGCTGAATTACTTTACTTTATATCAGTAAATCATTCATGCAAGGAAGCCAAATTGTGGCTATTAGAAGCCCACAGTAAGTTAACGACTGCTGTTTATTTTTAATTACTATTGGGAAGAAAGTTATCAGCTTTCTAAAGAAAAGTGAAAAACAAAAGTGAAAAACACATCTTACCATTATATACTCTGTAATATGTGTTCTTCAATTAAAATAAGTCAATTAGTTCCTGACATCACTACCGCTTTTATTATTAGATTGCCTCTAAGAACTAATATTCAACAGGAAATGTTAATGACAAAGAGAATATCCTTTTACTTAACTGTTGGCAAGGCATACTCTCCAAATCAGTCCAAACGTTTGTTCACCTTATTAAGCTGGGTATTTTGGATAAAACGCTCAGAAAAAAAACAGGTACCAATTTTGTCTCTTCAAATAAGCATTCAAGAATTACAAAGTAAAACCAGTATAAAACCATTTCTGCAATGACACAGTGGGTTTTAAATCAAGCATATTCTTCCAGTAACCAGAAGAGTCATATGAAACCAAGACTGAGTTTTAATGTTATACAAGTAAGCAATCAAGATACTCGCGATAGAAAGCAACAGCTTCAAAAAAGACCAGCGACAGTTACGTGATTCCTTGCATTGACCATCTTATCTGAAAAACTTAAATATGCCTTTATACTATGGCTTTCTAGCTCCTTCAGTGTTTTTTCTTTTTTGAGCCTACTAACACTTGACATACATTTATGAGTTTATTTGTTTATTTTTTATGTCCCTCCACTAGAATGTAATCTTTGGAACTTTGCCTTTTTTGTTCATAAGAGTATCCCCAGAGCCAGAATAGACTGCACAGAGGGCTCAATAAACATTTGTTAAACAAATGACCAAATGAATGAATAACTGAAGAATAAAAAGCATTGCCACAAAAGCAGAATAATAGAGTGGAAAGTACATAGCTTCTGGAAACTGACTAAACCAGTTTTAATCTTGATGCTCACAAGTCATCTTTTGCAATTTACTTAGAGTTTCTACCTCCATTTGCCCATCTTTAAAATGGGATAAGACATACCCTAACTCAGCAGTCCCCAACCTTTTTTGCACCAGGGACTGATTTCATGGAAGACAATATTTTCATGGATCAGGTTGGGTGGGGGATGGTTTGGGCATGATTCAAGCACATTACATTTATTGTGCACTTTGTTTCTATTATTATTGCATTGTAATATATAATGAGTTAATTATACAAATCACTATAATGTAGAATCAGTGAGAGACCCAAGTTTGTTTTCCTGCAACTAGATGGTCCCATCTGGGGTGATGAGAGACAATGACAGATCATCAGGTATGAGTCTCATAAGCCAGCTTGACCTATATAGTTAAACCCCGTATCCACTAAAATACAAAAATTAGCCAGGTGCAGTGGGGGCGCCTGTAATCCCAGCTACTTAGAAGGCTGAATCAGGAGAACCGCTTGAATGCAGGAGGCAGAGGTTGTAGTGAGCCGAGATCACACCACTGCACTCCAGCCTCGGTGACAGAACAAGACTCTCAAAAAAAAAGGAAGTCTCATAAGGAGCATGCAACCCAGATCCCTCACATACACAGTTCACAATAGGGTTCATGCTCCTGTGAGAATTTAATGATGTCCCTGATTTGGCAGGAGGTGGAACTTAGGCAGTAATGAGAGCAATGGGGAGTGGCTATTAACAGGGATGAAGCTTCCCTTGCTGCTCACCTCCTGCTGTGCAGCCCAGTTCTTAACAGGCCACAGACCAGTACCAGTCCCTGGCCCCGGGGGTTAGGGACTCCTGCCTCAACTGGGCTGAAACGAAGGTTACTAGTTAGATGAAAATAGAATGGAAAGAAAGACTGTTACACAGCACAGTCTCTGGAGCCAGCCTATCTTTGCTTTTGTATATTATTTAATATTTCAAGCTTACATGATCTGTGCAAGTTGATGAAACTCTGTGTCAGTTTTCTGAGTTACACAACTGGGCAAATAACAATACCTCAAAAAGTTATCCTATGGATAAAGTGGCATATATTAAACACCTGATAAGTGGATTCTCCTGTAGTTGAGATGCACCGAACATAGTTTCGATGTAGAGTCAGAACCCAATAAGTGGTAGATATTATTGCTATTGTCTTCCTTTGTCCATTATTTTCTTTCATTTCCTAAGTCAGAATATGTTCAGCTTCTGCTATCTATTAGCATCAGTTTTTCAAAATTACCTGAACTGCGCTTCAGTAATTTCCTTCCCCCACAGTTATACTGTGATTATAGACTATTTTTAATGGTACAATCAATCTTTTTTTCTCGTGCTCTTATGTCTTTCTGAGGCACTCTAAAACTTATACAACACTATTTATTTGTGTTCTGCATATTCAAATATGCAGAGTAGTAGTAGGTGAAGTACAATCTATTTGTGTTTTTACCTACCAGTCTCTTGCATATTTGAATATTACTATGCTAATACAATGTGGTTTCCTAGATACCAGACAGATTTGAAAGAACACTTTGGGCTATAGAAGAACCCTGGTAAAATCATGCTATATCCTAGTGCATATTCTGTTTCTTGGGTTTCAATCTAACTTTTTAAAGAATAATCCAAAGTGGCTTTAAAAATATGATGTTAAAATATTGGGCTAGTTCCTTTTAGGACTGCCAAAGAAATATAATACTCCTAATAGAATTTCTCTAGAGAAAGAATTTTAAATAGCTTTGTGCTCCTGAATTCACATAAAAGAAAGACAAGATAATCTTTTAGGTGATTTAACAGTTAAGTGAGGTGTCAGCCTACAAGGTTGTATGTATCTATGGCTTGCAAATAATTTTGGTTTTGACAGTCAAAAGTGAGCTCTGTATGGGATTCTAACTACCTGTCTAAGAAAAGGCATTTTTAGTAGTACCTTTACCAAGACAAGTTACCTAGGTCTTATAAATGGAATAAAGAATCATTGCCTCCAATTTGACTTGACCTTGAAACCAATGTTTTTAAGTCTCTGAATCTTTGAATGTCATCAGTTGAATACAAAAGTATTGTGTAGGTAATTCTTGTCACCACAAGAAAGGAAGAATTTCTTATTAAAGGTATTTCCCAAATGCACACACACACACACACACACACACACAGACACACACACACTCCACACACACATTCTTAAGTAGGTCATTTATGTTAATAATTCATGATTGATTTAAGGTATTCTTATTTCTTTGTTTTTCAAATTATTCTATTAGTTTTTCTCATTGTCCAAAGTGGTGGCTGCTCTCAAGATGGTTACTGCTCCCTGGATACTAGATCTGTGGTTTTCATTGCCTTGAGGAACCACAAGTCAACGGCTCTGGACCCAGAAAGATCAGCAGTTAGAAGTAGGTCTCCTTATCATTGTTAACAGATAGAACCAGAAAAAAAATCCATCAGAAAAGGAAAATAAAAAGAACACTTGCCTATCTAGTGTTGGCCTCTGCAAGAGAAAAAACTCCCTCTTGAGAATTTACCTTCTGCTCTCAAGTGAGACCAAGGTTCAAATTCACACTACTCGAGTGGTCTGACAAAGTAAGAATCAGCTTTAATTGGCCCCAGGCATCTGGCAAAGAATAATCTTTCAAATATGGTTTCAGGTTTTCTACAGATAAATCCCAGCCAATAG